TTTCCTCTTTGAAGCCACTTGTGGATTTGAACCTCTAAAGAGATGCACAGTTTGGGTTAGTGCAACTCCCTACTCCCTGCAGGGATTATTACCAGAGCTCCCTGTAGTTTGTGTAGAAAAGGCAAAATAGGAGTTTTGATTTTTTTTCCCTTTATTTACCAATTTCTAAAATAATGCATTGGCTCCTTGGTGGTCTTTAATTTGGTCCACTGAATTATTTTCATATCATTATGCTTTCATGGATATAAACATGTTTGGTATGTTTTAATCTGTTGTTAGCCTTTTTTGTGCTCATGTTTGCCTTATTTTTGACCACTGCTAATTTATTTGTCTTTTGAGTCACTTTGGTACAACATTTGTAGGCGCCAATATCTTCCTTGCTTTCTGATAAACTGAAGTAGCTCAGACTCATCCTCTGGATATTTATTGTCTCAGATCTACTTAGCTGTTTAACCCAACAGTTCTGGTTTCTTCTAGTGAGATTGCTTCTTGACTGCCGCCTGAATTGGTGATGATTTTGGTCAGTTTTATGAAAACTTTTTGATAGACTACACTAAAAAATAATTTCTTTTTAAAAGAAAATGTATCATGAGTTTATAGTGATACTTTTGATTGAAATTACAGTTTTCAGTTTAACATCACTGATGTTATGTTTTAGTCTCCATTTTTTCTTCCTGAAAATCTTGGTTTCTAGCAACATATTTTTTTTTACTGTTAACAGTTTTTGGATTATTTGTATAAAAAATTTTTTTTAAATAAATTTTTATTTTGTACTGGTTTACTTAAAAAAGTTCGTATACATTGTTTTTTACACCAGCTCTTTCCCATTTCCTTTACCCACCTCTGCCTCCACCCATCAAATTGTGCAACCCTCTGCCATTCCTCACCCCTCTGTTCTTACCCCCTACCTTGGATCCTCATATCCGTTTTACTAATTTTCTATTTCTACAATGATGGCCATTTACAGTATTTGTCCTTATGGGACAGAGTTAGTTTACTTAGCATAATGCTCTCCAGTCCCTCCCATGTTAGGTAATAATTTACAAAATCATTGCTCCTGCATGCTGCATACAATTCCATTGAGTGAATGTACCATAATTTCTCAATCCATTCTGTTTTTGTTGTGCATTTGGGCTGTTTCCATGTTCTTGATATGGTGAATAACGCTGCTATGAACATTGGTGTACAAGTCTCTGTGCCTCATTTCTAATTTTCTCAGGATATATTCCAAGCAGTGGAATCGCTGGGTCATATGGAATTTCTATGTTCAGCTTTTTAAAGAAATGCCAATTGCCTTCCAGAGTGGTTGTACCATTTTACAATCCCACCAACAGTGTATGAGAGTTCCTATCTCTCTATGTCCTCTCAAAAATATGGAATGCTTCATGAATTTATTTGCACGCCATTCTTGCACAGGGGCCATGCTAATCTTCTATTTATTGTTCTAGTTTTAGTACATATGCTGTTGAAGTGAGCACTCTTATGTTATAGTTTGAAAACCACAATGAGCTACCATAACCAATTGCTGTCAAATTGATGTCACAGTCTGTGGTAACACCATGTATGTAGAATAGAACTTAGAGTGGTTAATTTTCAGAAGTATATCACCAAGATTTCTGACATGCCTCCAGGCACCACCCAAGAGCTATCATATGGCCAGCAATTTTACTGCTACAGATTTATTTTAAAAATGTAAAAGCAGGAAGTCAAAAGATTTATTTTAAAAATGTAAAAGCAGGAAGTCAAAAGAATCAGACTGGTGTTCATTGTAATAGCCACAATGTAGAAACAACCCATGTGCCCATCATAGGAGTGGAAAAAAAAATGAGGTGAATATTATTCAGCCATAAAAACAAATGAAATTTTAATACATGCCAAACATGGATGAACCTTCAAAACTTTATTCTGAGTGAAAATAGACACAAGAAGGTACTTATCCCATTTGTATGAAATACCTAAAAGAGGCTAATGCACAGAGACCAAAATGGATACCAAGAGGAGGAAGGAAGGAGTTACTATTTAAGATTTATAGTTTCTGTTAAGTGTGATAAATTTGGAAATTGAGAATGATGTTGATTATACAACATGGTGAATGTAATAATTATCACTGAATCATATTACTATAAATTTTATCTTAAAATTTACTGATTTGATTTTTGAATCCTGATTAAGTATTTCTTTGGGGTTATCTTTTTCTCTAAATTTTATTATTGTTGAAAATATACAAAGCAAAATATATACCAATTTAAAAATGTCTACGTGTACAATTTAAAAACATTGAGTATATTTTTTGAGTTGGACAACCATTCTTAACATTCCTTTTCTGAGTTGTTCCTCTCTTAATATAAATTCACTATTCCTTAAGATTCCTATCTTATGAGTTGCTATTGTCAGGTTACTCCCAGTTGAAGTTCTTTTTGACATTCTAATAACTGTTTGGACATGTACATTTCTATGTTGTAAAGTAAGTTTAAATATTTTTTTAGAATATAACCAATTTGGCATGTGCTTAAGTTTCTTTTTGCAATTTTTAGGAATTTAGTATTTCTATTGGAGGTTTTCCCCCCATTGAAAATTTTCAAAGTTGCATTTATAATACAGTGAATGCCATTTACCTTTCACTTTAAATTCACCATTGACTATTTTACTACATTTGTTTTGTCTCTTGTATCTTGTCTTCTTTCCTCCCATGCACCCCAGTTCTTTCACCTGTGTGTGCAGGCCTTTTGTTTTGTTTTACTTATTCAGCCACTTAAAGGACGTTTTAAAGATCTCATAATCAACCTTAAGTATTTCAGCATGCTAAGAACAAGGAATTCTGTATAACCACAATTTCTTACGAAATCCAATGAAACTATGTTGTCCATATAAAATTTCCCTAGTTACAGAAGTGTTTTCTATACTTGTTTTTAAACTATGGCAAGCTCTGGTGGCACCTGCTGGCAAGAAGCTGCAGAGGTGAGCGGTTCAAATCCACCAGATGCTCTGCTGGAGAAGGAAGAACAATCTCCTTCTGTACCAGTCAGATCTGATTTGATGGTATACAGAAAAAAAAAATTGAAAAAAAAAATCTAAACTGTGATTCAATCTAGATTCATGTGTTGCTTTTGGTAGTTGGTCTTTTCTATTTCTTTTAATCTAGCATCATCCTCTCTTTTTTTTTCTGTGACATTAGCCTAAAGATTCCATGTGAGTTGTCATTGAATGTTCCACATTATGATTATGTTGATTTCCTTACAGGATTTTTTTAACTTGTTCTTCTAAGTACTATACCATAACTTCTTCTAACTACTGTAGATGATAATAAATTTGATCTAGTTTGGAGGCTTGATAGATTTAGGTCAAGTATTTTGGAGTAAGCATTTTGTATTATATACTGATGTATGGTACTTCATATTGCACCATTCTGGGAAGTACAATATCAGTGATGTTAAGTTTGATTCCTTAGTAAAGGTGTTCATTGTCAGCTCTTTTAATTCTAATCTGTATTTTTACCTTTGCATTTGATATTTCTTAGAGTGATTCTTTTGTATCCCATGAATATCCTAATAGTGTTCCCCACAAATTTTTTGCCCAGTCTTTTTCACATTTTTATTTCCTTTCATAATCACGTAATATTTTCGCATGATTCTAAAACTAACAGCATAAAAACAGGATACCGGAAGACAAGTCTGCTTTCCATCCCTGTCTCCTTAACCTTACTTGTTGCCCCCTTCCTCTGTAGCTGCTTTAAATTATTCTTTTTTTATTGCATTCCTTTGAAAATACAAATGTATTCATATTCCTGTCACTCTTTTCTTAGATAAAAAAAAAAGCATACCATTGTGCTTTCATTTAAAAATATATTCTCATCGTCAGTAAGGTTAATCCTTATCTGTTCCTCCTTTTGGAGAACAGAGAACATGATTGGAGCACGCATGATTCGTGATTAACATCTCCGCTTGAATAGAACTCGCAACATCCTGTTTGCTCCTGTCTAATTTCCTCGGGGGGCGGGCGGGGGATATATATTTTTTTCCTGACAGCTACTACACTGTAACAGTATATAGAAATATAGAAATCTATAGATGGATTTTTCTAAAATATCAAATCATGCCCTTCCTGTATTTGAAACTATTCAGGAATAATTCCCTTGCCTCTCTCAGGATAATGTCCATACTCTAACAAGGTCCTTCCTTTTTGTTGCATCCCAGCCTCACTTTTTCCTCTGCCCTCACTGAACAATGTACATAAGCATGGTATCTCTCACATATGCACACACACAATTGCCATATCAGATTATTATCAATTTCTTGAATGAATCATGAGGAAAATACCTGATCTATAAATATAATTTTTCCTTCTATCTAGAACACCATTAATCCTATGGATATTAGGTTGGAAATTTCCTGCAGGTCTTTCCTGTCTCCTTAGCATCTTACTGATTTTCTTACTTGCTGACCCAGGATTTTCTGCTTATGTTTGTTTTAGTATTCATATAGTATTCTGATTGCTTATTTATTTACATTTCTTTGCTCGACTCCTGAGCTGTGAGTATGAAAACTGTGGCTCACAGGATATGAGGAGGCCCAGTGCCTAGCCCTTAGTATGCATTTATATTTAGTAAATATTATTAGCTAAAAGTGACAGAAAGGCGCAGGCCCAGGCATATATATACAATATCCATAGACCTAAAACCAAATTCCAGTGGAATTTGCTCAATTATAGGGGTCTGAGCAGAAAAGATGAGTTGTCTCTTGAGCAGTTTATGTAAGAGCTTCCAGGCCACCCTAGAATGGTACTGACTTATGGCCTGGGCTGAGAGCCAGAGAGATATACCACTTCCTGAGAGACAGAAATATTGGCAATGCTTGGGGGAAAGATTAGAGATAAGAAAGCAATGTCACCTTGTAATTTCTAGGGATGATGGGAATGGGAATGACTGCTATAGGTAGGACATTTCTGGGGGCCTGGAATCTGCCCCAGGCTTTTCTTAATGTTGCTGAATCTGGGCCTTTTAGGATGCCCAGGCTGAGGAGGAGATCAAACAGGAAATGAACACCCTACAGCAGAAGCTGAATGAGCAGCAAAGTGTACTCCAGCGCATTGCTGCTCCCAATATGAAGGCTATGGAAAAGCTGGAAAGTGTCCGAGATAAGTTCCAGGAGACCTCAGATGGTAAGATTCCCCTTTCTTTTTGGGCCTGTGAGATGAGGAAGGGAGACTGATCTTGTACATTTCAATAATTCTCATTTTCACATTCTTTCTTATTTAAAACTCCCAAGAGCCTTGAATAGTAAGAGTCATCACGCCTGTTTTGTAGAGTGGCAAACTACTCTGATTCAGAGGGAAAATGAAGTGTAGTTTAAAGAGAGGTCCATGGTTATGCAGCTCTAAGCACATATTTCTTACTGTTCACTATAAGATTGGTCCACTGAATACAGAGTCTGTGGTACCCTTCCCAGGTATTTCTGTCCCTCTCTAAGATGTACCTACAGTGCAAATTGTGATTTGCAGATTATTCTTACCTTTGTCTTTCCCAGCCCTTTCTGAGCTAGGGTATTGAGGGATGGACCATCTGTCTTTCCTTTGTGACAGAGTTTGAGGCAGCCCGAAAGCGAGCCAAGAAGGCCAAGCAAGCATTTGAACAGATCAAGAAGGAGCGCTTTGACCGCTTTAATGCTTGTTTTGAATCTGTAGCCACCAACATTGATGAGATCTATAAGGCCTTGTCACGCAATAGCAGTGCCCAGGTATGCTGAAGCCCCTTACTCAACTAAGTTCTACCTTTCTTCAGTTGCCCTTCCCTCTAGACTTAGGCCCTCATTCTGGTCCGGGTCTAGTTCTAGATCTTGATCCATCTGCCTTTCCTCCTCAGGCATTCCTAGGTCCTGAGAATCCTGAGGAACCCTACTTGGATGGCATCAATTATAACTGTGTAGCCCCTGGCAAACGCTTCCGGCCTATGGACAACTTGTCTGGTGGGGAAAAAACAGTGGCAGCTCTGGCTCTGCTCTTTGCCATCCACAGGTAAGGCTGTTCTGGGAGCAGTTGGTTAAAAGACTGAGCTGAGACCACCAGAAGCTCTGGTGTGCAAGGATATGGAGAATTATTTGGCGGTAAAGATGTTCTGGTGGAATCTAATTACATCCCTGTTTCCCTACCAACTACATGGATCTATCTCCCCCATATACCCTTTTAGCATGTCCTTACTGGGTCCTACATATATTCAGTCCTACCACCAAACTTTTGTTTCAATGGTTTCTATCTAATAAAATTTTTCCACACAAATCTTGACTCCCTTTCAACTCTTTTCACACCTCCTTATTCTATTCCTGCCCTTGCTCTAAGAAGCTCTCCCTGATCTCCCACTCCTAGATGCCCAAATACTTGAGTTTGACCCATACAACTTAGTGCTTGATTACACAATATCATTTAACAACTGTTTATTTTTCTGGTATATTTTGGTACCCAAAGTGCTTTTATTTTTTTTTGTTTGTGGTTGTTAAAAATAGACATAGCAAAATCCACATACATCAAGTCAGCCATTTCTACAAATACAGTTCAGTGACATTGATTACTTTCTCTTGAGCCATTCTCACCTCCTTTTCTGAGTTGTTCCTCCTGTATTATAGACTCACTACTCCTTAAGGTTCCTTTCTTTATAGTTGCTTTTGTCAGTGATTACAGTGCTCAAGCAGCTAGCAATTTTTGAAGGTTACTCTATATCAGATCTTGTGGAGGGACTGGGGATAGTTCAGTCAGGCATGATCTCTGTCTTGGAGGATTTCAGAGTCTAGTGGAAACCAGGTGTGTAAGTGGACAGTATGCTTAAGGTAAGCACAGAGGAAAGACCCATAATTCAATTTGGACAAGTGTGTGAGCGGGCCAGGGAATGATTTCAAGAGCAAGGGATACGAAAGTCAAATAGAAATATGCCTATTATAGAAATATGCCTCCATTTAGAAGGCTTGCCTAAAATAGCAAGCATTCTAGATGGAGGGTACAACATGTATCAAGGCAGGAAGATAAGACAGCATGGTAGCTAGGAGAGGACTGGGCAGATTTCTACACAGTGTGGTCATTCTGGCTAGAAGCAAGGAGAACTTTTCCTCTCGAGTCAGCCTAGAAGTTCCCTGAAAGAATAATGTCTTCTAATTCTGCATGATCCTAGAGCACAAGACTGGGTTCATGAGAGGGCTATTTCCCTGACCTTTTAGGAACTCAGACACATTAGAACCTTGGTTTTTTAGTCTCTGAAGAAAGAGAGAGAGGAACTATCCTATTTGTTGGAATTTGGGGTTGTATCACCCTTCCTTTCCCACTTCAGTGTCAACTCACTGATTCCTTCTCAGCTACAAGCCAGCTCCCTTCTTTGTCCTGGATGAGATTGATGCTGCTCTGGATAACACCAACATTGGCAAGGTGAGTGCAAGAAAAGTGGGGATCTGACTTTTAGGGAGCATTTGCTGAACACACCTTAGCTATTCCTGCTGTCTGCTTGCTGTACCTTGCCTGGGAAGCTGAGCCTTGGCTCATGCTGTGGCCTCTTTTTCTCAGCCTCTATTTCCCTCACCCTCTACAAGTACCTCTCTCTGCTAGTCCCAGCTGAAAGGAGATGAACATTAGGCCCTGTTAAGTACCCAGTGGCCTCTCCCACAGGTGGCAAATTACATCAAGGAGCAGTCGACTTGCAACTTCCAGGCCATTGTCATCTCTCTTAAGGAAGAGTTCTACACCAAGGCTGAGAGCCTCATTGGTGTTTATCCTGAGGTAAGATTGGTCTGGCTCAGCAGCGAACCTCACTCCCTGGCTCACTTCCCAGGACAGGAAAAGAAAGACTGCGGTGGAAAATTAAGGGGAGTGGGGAACATGGAATGTAAGGAATTAGATTCTGATCAGCCATCTGGGTTTGTTGGAGCCCAGTCCTAGAGATTTAGCCAACCGATTTGGGCAGAGCCATTGCATTGAGGAAAGATGGAAAGACCAGGCAGTGGTAGCCAGAGAGTATAGAAAAGGAGAGGAGTTCAGAAGTAGGCATGGGGAAAAGGCATATGGGACCAAGCATATCCTCATTCACAGACCCATTGCCTGAGCTTTGGATAGGTATGGGGGAGAGGAGGGTTTATACCAGCATACCAGATCCTCCTTAATTTTCTCTTTTTCTTTTTCCTCCCTCTTCCATCAGCAAGGGGACTGTGTGATCAGCAAAGTCCTAACCTTCGACCTCACCAAGTACCCAGATGCCAATCCCAACCCCAATGAACAATAGTAGTAGTAGTTCTGTCTTCTCACCTTGTCTGGATCCCTGTGCTCTTCCTCTGCCACCCTCTGGCTGTTTGGCTCTATACCTTCTCCCTCCTCCTGTCCCTGTTGGCTTTAGTGTTATTAGGTGCCACTGAGTTGATGACAACTCATAGCAACTCAGTGAGGAAGAGATTTGAACCTTACCCTATCTTGCATCTTCACAATCTCTGCTGTATCTCATGACTATTTGTTGGATATGAATAATCATGGGAATTTAGGCATTGCTGTCAAGCTTGAAGAGCAGAGTCTGGACCACACATTCCTGAGAATCTGTAGGGAGTATCCTGGCCTCTGAATGGAGGTGCTGAGCTGAACTGAACTGACCCTGGACCATTTTGTACAACCTACTTCCTGCCCCTTCTCCCCATAACCCATAATTACAGACCCCTTGCCCACTATGTGTGTGGAGATATGTATGTATATGTACACATGTTTGCAAAATAATAAAGTTATTGAAAACCTGTTTTATAAGGAGCTTAGGCTGACATTAATTCCAAAATAACTTAGGATGACAGTATCTCATAGCTACACAAAAGTGCTTAGGAACTCAGGATTTTTAGACATTCACCTGAAATTGTCCTTTCTTTCCTTCATTCATGTATATACTCAATCATCAGACCCACTGTCGTTAGACACTGCACAAAGAATAGAGAGTTGAACCAGATATGATGTCTACTCTCCTAGTAAGGAGATGAAAGGGGCTCATGAATTATTGTGGTTAGCTGAATGTCATATATGAGGGTGCTTTCTAGAATTTTTAATTTTTACTTTAGTGAAGGTTCACAAAGAGATTGGTTTTCATTCATTCATTCATGCACATTTTCCTCCCTCCTCCTCTCCAATTCCCTGTATAATGCCTTGTCCTGTTCTAGGCTGTTAATTGTCATACACATGATTTTTTTTTTTTTGTCTTTTCATTCTTTTATTTTTTTCTCCAAGTCTAATGCAACAGCTCTTCTTTCATTATTAAGGCTGGTCACAGGATTACCCAAAAGGGTAGTAATCTGCTGTAATGCATACAGATTATACATGAATGGAAGAGCATCGCCAATGAATAGTCATGGTTAGTATAATCAGAAGAGGGCAGTTGAGAAGAATCAAGCAATCGTGCATAACAGAGCAAGTTTCTTGCTTTCTGATCCCTGCTGAATGTCAAGTACTCAGCTAAACATTTGACCTATCAGTACTTACCATAAGGGGGAAATGCTGGACAGTCTCCTCCCATGCAATTTACTCTCTCTGAAAACCTGTGAGAGAGTCAGCTATGAGTCAGTTCTGACTTGATGATACACAACAACAACTTATTAAAATGCACAGCAAGAGCCCAGACTTAAAAAAGGAGGTTAGCTACTACATAATGCTGTTGCTGATTTCCACCAAGTTGATTCTAACTCCTGTTACTCAAATACATGCAGAATAGAAGTGTTCCACAAGGGTTTCCCATTGTGACTTTTCTGAGGCAGACTGACAGACCTGTTGCCCGAGGCACCACTAGGTGAGTTTCAAATACTGTTAATGATGTTGTTGTGTAATGTCAAGTCAGAATTGACTCATAGTTGTCACTGGGGGGAGGGGGGGTAAAGAAAAAAGTGCAACAATGAACGAATGAAAATCCAAAATCTCTATAAACGTTCATTAAAATTAATAAATTTTTTTTTAAAAAATGGATTTACAGCCTTAGGAATCTGTTGAACAGTCATCATGAGTTGCACTTGACAGTGGATTTGGCTTGGTTTATACTTACCAATAGAATCCCTTAGTGACCAAAATGGAACGCCTGATGGCTTAGTGGTAAGGAGCTGTGCTGACATCCCAAAGGCTCCAAGTTTGAATCCACCAGCTGCTTCATAGGAGAAAGATGGCCACTCTCCTGTTTGGTTTACAGCCTCTGAAGATCAGCTGAAGGGTCATAGGCATAATTTCTAAACATCCATTCCTTTCAGATTGTCCTTCCTAGGAGAATACTTTGTATTTTAGACAAGGAAGATTGCTTTCGTAATTCTTTGAGAAAATCACATTTGATTGAAAGAAATGAATGCTTTTCAATTTTTGCTATTTTGAAGTACTACATAGAGTATCCTTGTAGACATGGGGAAAGTTTACCTAGGGTTGATTTCTAGAAGCAGAATTGTAGTATCATAGATCCTTTCTTGGTTTTGATGAATACTTTTATACCTGAACAAGATTTGAAGCTTGTTAAAAATAAATTGCTCTGGTCCTTCTCTGGGAAATATGATTAAGAGTGCGTGACTAATCCCTGTCTACCTCACAACTATCAACCAAAAGGATTACATATACAATGTCTTGAACTAAGGAACACAGTGGCACAAAGGCCAAAAAGGACTAAAGTTCCGACGACCAAGGAAATGAAATGACTTGTGTGGTTCAGTGGTAAAGCCTAGACTTAAATTCAGATCTCTGGAGTACTTACTCAACACCCTTTATTTTTGTTTTGTAAAGTTTTACAAAACAAATTAATTTTCAATACCTATATTTCTCCCACTTCCACGTTAAAATTCTGATTTCCATTCTTTGTTCTATACATATCTATGTCTTCCATTTCTTTAGTGATATTTTGCTCATCATCCTGCCTTTTTCTTCATGCATCTTAATATAAGCCTTGTAAATAAACATATTTTTACTGATTTCTACACCCCGAAGGACAAACTTCCACTCCACTGGACCACCAGAAACTCTGACCCAGACCAGTCATCTTGCTGCCACAGCAAGCCCAGCCTACCCCTAAGGTTCCTACCTTTTGTTGTTTTTATTGTTTATTTTACCCCTATTATGCCATGAATTCCTAGGAAATAGGTTCCAACACTCTGGCTCCTTCCCCTTCATTCTCACAGTGTGCCTCTCTGAGGAGAGTAGGCTGGTGTTTCAGATGGACCCAAGTGCCTTTTTCCTTGGCTTCCTTCTTTTTTTGATAATTTTCCTTCACACAGTTTAGGAAGCTGTCTCTGCTCTTAGAGTGTCTTAATATGCTCAATGAACAGTTAATTCTCTTAGCAAAACTCTTACCCTTAATTTGTTTGTTCACAGCAGTGCCAACAGTGTGCTGGGAAGCATTATGGTGTTTCCTTGGTAACATTTGTAAGGCATTCTTTTTTTTTTTTTTGAAAAAAATTTTTTAAAAATTTTATTTTTGTGAGTGTACCGTCAAATCAGATCTGACTGGTACAGGAGGAGATTGTCCCTCCTTTTCCCGGCAGAGCATTTGGTGGATTCGAACCGTGTGCCTCTGGGATTGTAGTTGCAGCTCCTTGCCACTAGGCCACCAGAACTCCCCTAAGGCATTCTTTTTTGTATAGTCCCCATCCACCTGATGTCTACAGTATCTCCTTTCCTATAGATTTGCATATGTGGCCAAAGGAACAAACTCTGTTTTTTTCTAAAGGGCTCAGAGAACATACTCCTCTTTCTTTTATGTTTGTCATTTTGACCAATCACTGCAAAATGGCAGTTTTGCTGAGAGAGCAGTTCCTACCTTTTTCACTCTTGTTTTTCCTTGTCTTTCCTGTCCCTTTTTAGTTTGTGTTTTATTGTCTTTTATGTTTGCTTGCTTGCTTTGGGTTGTTCCCCCCCCCCTTCTTGTTATTCTTCATTTAGTTTGTTTTTCTTTTTCTTTGCCTTGCTTGTCCTGAATCCTCTTTCTCCTTTTATACCCATCAGGTTTTAGTTTTCTGTTTTCCTTTATTGTTTATTCTTGTTTTTATTTTGTTTTTCCTTGTCTCATCTGGCAGCAGATAGCAACAGTGACCACACAACCCAGCCAAACACATATTACCTGCAGCTTCACTCATTGTGTAAGAGTAAAGAATAATCCCTGTTTCACCTGATCAAAACCAGACTGCAACCAATACCAGATAAATCTATAAAACCAAGAATTGGACTCTGTAATACCCACAAGAAAACAGGAGGTGAAAAACAAAAGAAGCAAGCTGTAAAACAATTGTATGGCTCAATTGCATATATGAAAACAAATAATACAGAAACAACAACATCACAGTGTATCACAGGCAACAGATAGCTTCAGGTCAAATGGCAGAAATAACTGAAAAGAATACAGAACCAGAAAAGCTTTCAGAGAAAGAAAAGCTATTGGAACATCAAGATTATACATACTACATAATTTTTTAAAAGCACCAGATTGAAAAATGAACATTAGACTCAATATTAAAACAGCAAATGGAAATTAAGGATATTAGACTAAAGTTTCAGAAAGATTGGGATGACGAACAGAATTGAGACAATATGACACAGAATTAGTGAGATGGAAGACAAATCTCTCAGTACTAATCTGGAAGAGTGTCAACCAGAAAAAGGAAGGAAGGAAAATGAGAATACTTAAGAATTAAATGGGACACCATCAAGAGGAATAACTTAGCTCTGAATAGAGTTCCATAACATGAAGAGATCACACACACGCAGAATTGTTTAAGATTTGGTAGAATAAAACTTACCAATATTACAAAATATATGAAAATATGCTCTCAAGAAACTGAATCCCAGAGTAGACCTAAAAAAAACCAAACCACACCAAGATATAATAACATTTTCCAAAATCAGAGACAAAGTGTTTTGAAAGCAGCACAGGAAAAAAATGGCAAGTTGCCCACAAAAGACAACCAATAAAATTAAGCTCCGATTTTTCAGAAGACACCATACATGAAGGAAGACAATGGAAATACAGAAATGCTGGGGGGGGGGGGAATAAACTGTGCAAGAATTGTCTCTGAAATAGCATAAGACATTTCAAGATAAAAAGAAATTAAGGGATTTTTTTTATACTAGACCAACCTTACAAGAAATTATATAGTTCTTCAGGCAGAGAACCAATAGCAGAAGATATGACAAAATCATTCCAAAAACAAACCAAGCATAGAAATATAAGAAGTAAAATGAAAAGCTAAAACTAGTGAAACAGAGGTGGTGGTGGTGGTGTGTACCATAGAGTTTGAA